GAGATCGTGTAGAAGGTTTATGGCAACTGTGCTTGGTCTGCCAAGCGCGACGGCGCCACTGTCCATCTTCTCAAACGAGGGAAACCCTCGTTACCGGATCTTACGGTAATCGAGAGATGAGCAGGAACTCACCGCAGCGCTGTAGTCGGCCACACGCCGAACAAGTTCTGGCGTCGCGCCGTCAGGGTAACGGACCCTGCTAGTCGGTACTGGCGGGTGGAGGAAGCGGTCGGAGTGTGTACAAACACGCGCGCCCGCTCAATATACACGCGGGGCCAGATAATGCACGCTACGCACGCATACCAGCGCAACATACACACAAGCACGCACGCACGCATCACAAACACACACCACACCACGCACACCCAGCAACAGATTCACGGCCACGCCGCCGCGCAGCACCACACACGCACACACACACACACACCACGTACCACACCACGCAGCACCGTACGTACGCACGCACGCACGCACGCATTCAACGCGGCATGCACAGCACGACACACAATACGAGCTCACAACACGCACGATACACGGCACACACACAAGCACGCACGCCGCATTATACACACGCATATAGCGGCCACACACAAACACTCACACAGTACACCACCACACACACCCACCACACACACACACACACCACACCCACACACATACAAAACACAGAGCACAACACCACACACACACGACCACACACACCACACACCGACAAACGCACACACACACACACACACACACCCACACACACACACCCCACAGCACACACACACACACCACACACACACCACAGCACCAACACAGCGCCCCGCACACCGCGACCAATCATCTCTACTGGCGCTTTGCTGTAGGCCAGACAGAAGGCTAGGCGAAGCATCTAACAGTAGTGAGAAGGAGTCCGCTCATCGTAGGTCGCCTAGACGGTGTCTATCGATGCCTCGTGCCCGAAGCACCGTGTGCGCTGCGTGCGGCAGGCATATCGTCCAACGCCGGCTGCGGAGGAAGAACACGTGACGCTGAGATGGTAACGATCACGTGAGGCGGAGATATGAGCACGTGACAGCGGAGAACACGAGCACGTGGACGCGGATGACATGAGCACGTGAACATATAGATGTGAAATATGAAAGAACGGCAAACAAAGAAAGAGAAAGAGAAACGAGGGAGAAAACAGAGAAGAAAGAGGAAGAGGGAGAAGAGAGCAGAGAGAGAGAGAGAGAGAGAGAGAGAGAGGAGAGAGAGAGAGAGAGAGAGAGAGAGAGAGAGAGAGAGAGAGAAATAGAGAAACGAGAACGAGAACGAGAACGAGAAAGAGAAAGAGACGAGAATGAAAAGAGAAGAGAAAGAGAAAGAGAAAGAGAAAGATAGATTAGTAGTTAGAATAGATAGATAGATAGATATATAGATAGATAGATAGATAGATAGATAATGATATATGATAAGATATATAGATAGATCATGATAGATAGATGAATAGATCGTAATAGATAGATAGATAGATCATGATATAGATACGATCTAGATAGATAGATAGATAGATATGAGTATAAGATATGATAGATACGATAAGATAGATAGAGCTAGATGATAGATAGGAAAGATAGATAGCATATTAGAATAGATAGATAGATAGAATCGATGATAAGATAGATAGATAGAGTAGACTGATAGAAAGATTAGTTTAGAAGATAGTTGATGGCGAGATGATAGATACTAGCGAGCTAGCCTAGCTGGACTAGGTAGATAGAACAGATAGATAGATAGGTAGATAGATAGATAGATACATAGATACATAATACATCGATAGATAGATAGATTGATAGATAGATGATAGATGATAGATAGATAGATAAGATAGATTAGATAGATAGGTAGATAGATAAGATAAGTACTAATCAGTTATATACCATAGATAGATTAGATAGATAGATAGATAGATAGATAAGATAGACTAGATAGAGATGGATGGATGGATACATAGATGAATAGATAGATAGATAGATCATGATAGATAGATAGATCGATAGATAGATAGATAGATAGATAGATAGATAGATTAGATAGATAGATAGATAGAATAGAAGATAGATAGATAGATAGATAGATAGATAGATAGATAGTAAAGATAGGATAGATAGATAGATAAATCGATGGATGCGATACACAGATGGAATGATAGATAGATAGACAGATACGTAGAGACAGTGAGCCGTGTGTGTGTATGTGGTTATCTACCATTGCTCGTGAGTCACACGTCAGTGGTAGGACGGGTTCTGCAGCGTGCGTATGAACAGCTGTCCGCTCATTAGGTAGCGGCAGTCCTTGCTTCTTAAACTGCGAGCAGAGAATGATCAGGGTTTACCACGGTGGCACGCCTATCTTCTCGACACGCGCCCCACAATGTACGCATACACACGCACGCACATAGCACACAAACAGACACAGCAACAACACACGACCGCGACACAATACACACCACGGACCACACACACACGGACCACACCAACACACGACGCACACGCAACCCCCACAGCACACGCCACACACAAGCACCACACAGTACAACGGCCGACATCAACGCAAGACGCACGAGACCCAGGCACGACACACACACACACACACAGCGGCACGCCGACGCACGCACGCACGCGCACGACGCACACGACACACACACACACACCACACACACGACGCGCGCGCACGCTAGCCCCACACAGCTTGTAGTGAGGTCGTTGCAGTTGGTTCCAATTACACAGGCCAGAGCCCTCGCATCCACACCCTCAGCAATCACATTGAACGCCTGGCCAGTACTGAGTCTTCTTGGCATGAGTGGATGCGGCAGCGGGGGAGGACTCGTACAGAACTATACCTGCAACATTCAAGATCCCATCAGAATAAAATAAGAATAAATTTTTATAATTATAACTATAAAATAAGCACACAATATATAATATTTCTGTTTTAAATGGAATAATTCTTAATAAATTATGTAATATTTATCAATTTTTTTTTTTAATTGTTACAAAAAACGTGATTATATATATACTATATTATAACTAATATTGTAATAATTCAACGATAATAATGATAACAACGATATCCGGTAACAAGCTATTATTACAAGGTAGGGCTGATACTGGGGCCCGCCCTGACGGGCACAGGCGAGTCGTCCCGACGCTGGTCGCTTGTTGGCGTTAACGTCGAACGTCAGCGACTAACCAGTGAGGGGGGCGCCACGCTCGCACATGCAGGTGATGAATTCGACGATTAGTTTGCGCGCAGTCGGTCCAGCGCCGTAGCGACCGTCTTGTGGATGAGAGAGTATGTAGGACTAAGCTGGGGTGTGTGGTTGCGTGGTGCGTGTTTAACACGACATACGCACGCGCACACACAGCATCTCACTCTCTCCTCTCTATCATTCTTCCTTTATTTTTATGTGCTCCTTTCCTTTTTCTGGTCCTTATCTTTCTCCCAGTCTATCTATCTTTCATTTTTCAACATTTTCCATCGCTTCCTTCTATATCTTTCTCCGTATTCTCCTCTATTCTCTCCTCACTTTGTCGACCCTCCTCTCCTATCGATTACAGCATGGATCACCTCTCACCCTCTGCTCTCGCTCATCTTCTCATCTCTCTGGTCGACTCTCTCTCTTCTTTACTCTCTTCTCGTTCTCTCTCTCGTTTCCT